CTTCACGCCAATGTACCTCCTAAATTTGGCAACAATGAACGGAGGTGTGTTGGTGAGGTGCACTTTTATATACATAATATTTCATAGGAGGTGTGTTGGTGCGATGCACTTTTATATACCTAATATTTCATTTACTATTATTCCTACCGGCAATTTTTATTTTTGGACCTTTCGCGACATCATATATAATTATTGCATACAGTGTGTCCACGGATGGACTTAACTATACTTATAAAAATGTTTATTTAAAATAAAAAAAAGTGATTTTTCATAATTTCTTTTGCTTGTTAAATAAATATGATACACGTTAAGAAACTTCGAGTTTTTGTACAGGGTGTACAATAAAAATACAATTTTGGATTTCCAAAATGAAAATTTTGTTAATACAGTTTTTTTGAACCGCTCAAATTAAGAGCTTTTAAGGAGAACTCAAATAGCCAAATATTATTAAATATCATCCAAGTCCATCCAAGTCCATCCTTGGACACAATATATATTTATTGGCCCCTTTCAAAGCTATATAACTTTTAAACTAGTTAAGATAACTAAATGCAGTTTTCACTAGTCGTCTTTTTTTCTGAGTATGTCTTTTTTTTTTGCTCACTTTTTGTTAAACCGAAAATGTCGTAGACCTAGTATTTTCAAATGGAAGACCCTGTAGATTTTTATATATTTAGAATCATTCTTCTTTTTACTTTTTAAAAATGTAGATGCTGTAATAGTTTAAAAAAATTGAAACAAAAAAACTAAAAATTACACTTTGAACAATAATTGAAATAGTTATAAATCCTCTCGAAAATTATTAAATTTTTAAGAGGGCCTAATAAATAATGACGGAATATCAATAAAAATAAAATACTTGTTTACAAAACATATTTATTTAAAAAAGGTACAAACATTAAAAGCTCAAATTAAAAAAGTACATACAAATTTAATGGATTGGTCCCACCTAAGAAACAGAGCTTGGAAATATTGGGTAATACCCTAATATTACGATTTTCGCTTGAGTTGGAACGGTATAATAGGTTTTATAGTAACCGGTAAATGAAGGGGGAAAATTTTATGGCGTGAAAAGATCTGACATAGCCAGTTCCGTTTTCAAATTATTTATTAAAAACTAAAATTCTGGTTTTATTTATTGACTTGCCGAAAAATGGTACTTTTTTATACTTTTAAACTAGCTATTCAAATCGATTACACAAAATTTTCTCTATTTGAAACCAAGATTTTCTAAGGTTTTAAGTATAATGTATATCGGGAGTCCATAGCATTGGGCTGGTAATAATGATTTTAATTAATTAAAAGTTGAAATTTAAGTAATTAGTAATTACAGGTCAGTAATTAGTTTTTTATGTACTGATTATGTAATTTTTTAAAACACAGGTAAAGTGCTTTATTGGTTACATTTCTATATACAAAATAGAATATTTGAGGATCCTATTTGAAATAATCGATGGCGAAACGAAAAATAGTATTTAAAACATTTTTCGGTATGTCAATAAATAAAATCGCAAAAGCTGAAAAACGAAAATAAAAATTTTTATTGTTCCTTAACAACATAAAAAGGTTTCTGTTTGAGGGATATTGTTCCCCTTAATAGGTAACATTTATCACATCTGACCGAATTTGTATATCAAACCATTTACGAAATCCCCATCCATTGCATCTTTATGAGGCACATCATTTAAAAAGAATTAAAACAATAATAATTAAAATGAAACGAAATTCAAAAATTCTTATAAAAGCACATAAATTATTTATTTATTTTTGTAAATATTGTAAACAAATGTTTTTACTCTAACCCAATCTTTGTTTCCAAGAATATCTGGATGGTTTTTGATTAAATTTAGACATTCATCCTTTTTAGAAGCCTTTTTTAATGTAATATTATTTTTGAAATGGGTTTTCACCAGTTGCGCGTGTTCGGATGTCCAACGAGTCCTTCCTTGAATATTTATCTTCGTTTTAATACTCTCGGTGTTATCTGCAATTAAAATTACTTTTAATAACGGCTGCTTTAACAGGTAGATACTTCATAGCTTGAACATACAAGGTGCGGAACATAAAACTAGAACATTACGATACTGATGGAAATGTGAAAATTTGAAGATAAAGGTGAATTATTTAGTGACTATATTTTACACAAAAATTTCCTTTATTCCCTTTCTACTCATATCTCTAACTTGTTTTTTGTTGTTATTTTGTGTTGTATTATAATATTATTTTGTCACTGTTGGAGAAAAATTAAAACTATCCCGTTAGAAAAGTTTAAATTCCGTAAATCTCAATTGCCATATTTCACGTCCAATTGATTCAGGATAACTCGCTTGCTAAGATTTATGTATAGTTTGTATAGAAAAGTCCAGAAAGTTACCTTGAACAGGTAGTAAAATTGGTCTATTATCTATGGGTTGTTCGTCATCGTCTGAGTCAACTTCAGGATATTCTTCTGCAGGGTTAATATCTATCTCGTTCAAAGACTTTCCTTTATACATAGCAACTCCCTTTTCCATAAGTAACAATAACTTTGACACCTTTGCGGTTTGATATAAATCCTGGGGCAACCTATAATAAATGAAGTAGGAAAGGATTAAAGTTTAATATTAATAAAGTTTAAATAATGATTACTTCCCGAAGATATTTTAACAAATTCTATAATTAAAAACTCGTATGTTAGGCTATTAATTATGTGCTAAAAACTTGGCAATAAAGAAACATCACCTTTGCGAGTTTTTATTACATGAATCATTCTAATGGTCATTAAAAATAAAAAACCGAGGAGTGCTATTGAATTAAAGGGTGGAAATTGGAAATAGGTGTTAAAATGCAACTCATACAGTTTTTAAATATATCTCGAAAACGAAGAAAAATTCAGGTATTGTTATGATTTTCTTGTAGAGAATGCAATTTCTTTTCCCCTAAACCACAGGTATTGGTACCGTTTAGCGATTTAGTGCAAAATAAATGATTATAAATTAATACTTTTTTTATCTAAAGAGCGCAAAACTTTTTTACTCAAATAACATTAACTAACTTACCTTCGTCAGCGAAATTTACACGGGCTAACTCAACGAGTCTGCGAGACCTAAAAATAATAGATTATAAGTGGATTGTAAAATTCTAAATAATTTTTTTACCAACCTATCCATTGCTCTGATACACTTTACATGTACAACACACAACTCATAGATCCGGAGCCCAATACAATGATACCTCTTAGTGATTACCATAGGTATATATAATCAGGAAACGAATCGACCCCCACTACCAACTGCACGTTACCTGAAATATGGCAACGGTGCTGGAGGCGTAAAGGGCAACTTCTCTTGCAAAATTTTATACAAAAGAGGCGGATCACTTAAATAATTTGTGGAGGCGTGTTACATTTATAAATATGCTCAAAATTTGTATATTTTCAAGTACTTTGTTTTTTACCCCTCAAGGGCTCCATCTATAAAAATATAGTTTTTAATTCTATTGGAATCAAATACACTCATTTGGTTTTAGTATTTAACATGGAGGCTTGGGTGCCTGTATTACGTATGGAGGCGAATAAGATAGCTGTGCATGTATATATATATATATATATATATATATATATATATATATATATATATATATATATATATATATATATATATATATATATATATTTCCTCCCCTAAATTTTAATATGACTTGTCAAGTAATTAGAGAAAGGTGAACAGAAGAATTTATTAAAGTATGCCAAAGTAATAACAAATATAGCTTTAAATTTAAAAATACCTTATGATAATGAAAACGCAGTGGTTACATTCGACTTTAGGGACACACTGTTTGACCAGTTTTACTTTATTTTTTGATTTAAATGATATTAAGTATGATTTTAACTCACCTTAGGTTTGGAAATATGAAAAAAAGTATAAATCAATTATATATTTTAATTTAATACTTTTTTAAAATAAGAAAACGAGTTTTTCATTAAATTTAACCTAAAACTTGAATATTTGACATTTCTTTTCTGGATAATGAGCGGGGTTGCCAAGATTAATTTATTACTTGTTACTATTTCGGCCGTTACCCGCAATATTTAAAAAACTAAGTAGTCTTGGTATTAACAGTATGACTGGGTAGCAGAGAATTTAGAATGAAATTTTATGTTGAATGAGTCAAATAAAATGATTTTGTAACATTGTATTTTTAGAAATTACTCAAAAATATCAGTAAGTTTTAAAAACTTACAAAGGATTGCTGTTTAATTTTATAAACAATTGTATGAGCTGATATGAACAGATATTATTCTTTGATCTGTGTTAGGGGTCGGGGAGCGATTTTTGATACAGATTCTGGTATTTTATCACAAAATTCTATTATTTTTATTTAAATAAACAAATCATAAAAGATAAAAGTATAATAATTTAAGAGTTTACAAATTAATTATATCTTCTTACATATTAAAAGACTTGGCAACCCTGTACACATAAGTCAAAATATTTGATTAAAAATGTGTAATTTTTGAGATTTTAATATTAAATTTCTGGCTTAATCCTGGATAATCTCCAAATTTTTTTTGTCATGATATATAACTTCTTTACTTTCTAATAGTACAAATTTTTTTTTGAAATTCGTGTCTTTTAAGTCGAATGTAACCAACGCGGTTTAATTATATTATAAAAAATTACTTCTTGTGTGAATTGTTATTTTGAGTAAAATAGGCTTGAAATTAAAAATTGTTTTCTTTCGCCTATTTTTTTTTACATAAATCTCCGGATCAACCAAATTTGAATGGTGGCAATCCCTACATAATTATAGTTGATTTGATTAATTGATCCCCTTTATTTTTATATGATTTTTGACTTGTATTGCATTTTTCCTTAAAAGTCTCATCTCTCGAATTTAGGTGGATAGTTTTTAATGAACTTGTCTGTATTTTGTTACTTAATTATTAAATATTGTTCATTCAAATGTTAACAGACTTTGGTTCTTGAATAATAATTAAATGAACAAAAAAAATTTCTTACCAGAGGTAGAACATTCGACAGATTATTGTGTGCGGCAATGTTGCAATTCACATTAGATTTACATTTGTTTGACTTTTTGATAAAATTTAACAAAAGTTGTTTATTTTCTTCACAAAATTCGTACCTCGGTACATTCATGTTTTCTTCATAAATATTTGTTTACAACCAAAAACCAAAGCACAGAACACTTACTCTTAGAACGGTATCTCCCATGTTAAAAAAGGATGATAGAGTTTTTAGCGGCACCTGGTGGACGTGGTTGATTTTTTCTCAATTAAGTCCTTGTCTGGTAAGAGGCCATATGAAAGAAGAGAAAATAATAAAAAGAAGAAAAGCGCGGGGCTATTCAAATTTGACAGTAAAAATTATCCGCATTAAAAACTATTAGCCAAATTAAGATTTGTTCACACAAATTGCATTTTTGCTTTATTATAGCGAATATCGCTATAATAAAGCAAAAATGCAGTTTGTGTGAACAAATCTTAATTTGGCTAACAGTTTTTAGATAAAAAAAAACAAGAATATTCAAAAAATAAATTTATTAAAGAATATATATAATACAAATCCAATATTTAAAAAATGTAATGTATATGAAAATTATATTATGTATGAAGTAGCTGGATGGCTGCTACATATTCCAGGATACAACACTGTCCATCATTTTGTGAAGAACTTTAGCTGTGAAAAAAGAAAGACAGTATAAGTACAATCTCATTAAAATAAATGTATTAATAAAAAATTATAAGTCCGAGGAATACTTTATTTTTTAATAAGTCCAACATCTACGATACAGCTTTGCAACCCCAAACGTCATGAAACACAAATTTCACAGTATATGCCGCGTTTAAGAATCCACATCGGATGCAACTGAGATGTAGTAAATCTTTGATCACGTGATTCAGTTTACGTAAATGTAATGGGACAGATGTGTCCGATTTAAAATAAACTATTTGAGGCGCTGTTCTCCACATCTCGGCAAATGGACTAAAATAATAATTTATAATACTCTTAATATTACCTTATTTTAATTATTGTGTCACTATACTGTATTTGCTCAACCAGAATGAGTTGCAATGATTGCAGAATAGAGGTCTGAGGATAATACTGAGCTGTTCGAGATTGGAACCAATCAATTCCATGTTGAATGTGCTTCAGTGGTTGACTGTTAAAAAATATTTGCTATTCTATTCCCTGCTTTTTATATTTAAAATTAAATCAGGAATCTCCCGAGTATATTTACAAAATATTTTAAGTTATAATCAGGATGTTCATGAACCTAAACAGGTAACAAGAAAAATGTACACAAAATTCAGTGTTTTTTAAAGGTGTACAGGCTTTTAATAATTTGCCTGAGGATATTAAATGTTCTTCAAATGTGGCAATATTTAAAATAAAACTGCATGAATACCTGTTCACCTATTGACGTTTTTTTTTTCTCTTTCTTGTTCTTTTATTGTTTTGTATAGTTGACATGTAAGTGTACTGTATCTTATGTATTTTTTATTGCATTTTAAATGTATGTTGATTCTATATTTATGTATTTTTTATATTTTAAACATGAAGATGTATTGACATGTAAAAAATAGTTTTTTTGACTAAATAAACGTTTTATATATAGGTATGTTGATAAAAAAACGCTCGAGATGTAAAAAATACATCTGATGTGGATTCTCAAACACAGCAATAAGTATAAAATAAATAAGTACTAACTTTCCTTCTCGAAAAGAAGTCCAACATATATTATTAGTCTGCTTCTTCTTCTACGATACAGCTTTGCAACCCCAAATGTCATGAAACAGAAAATACACAGTATAAGTATAAAATAAATGAGTAGATTACTAACTTTCCTTCTCGAAAAGAAGTCCAACATATATTATTAGTCCGCCTTTTCTTTGAACCTTTACTTGAAGTAGAAGGTGTTTGATCAACATATTCAATTTCTACGTTATTTGAGGAAAGTCCATCCGCTACTCTTCCAGGAACTGCTGGTAGGAATAGCGTTGGAAATGCTTCAGGTGTTAGACCTCGACGAGAGCCAACTACTTTATACTTCTCTTCAAAATGTTTATGACATACTACAAAGGTGGAATAAATTTGTAGTCTTGTTTTATTATTAAATCTTGGACAACGAACAGCAAGTGCACAAATATCAAATAAATCTGGTGAATTCGTGGGGTGAGGCAGGCGATGCATCTTGTTGTCCACAACAAGGCAATTCGGTACACAACATTTTCTATAATTACGCATCTTTATGAAAAACCACAAAATAACAGCGGAAAAAGCACAAATTTATAATGGAAAAACAAGCTTATTAACAGTGGTCAACTAAATCAATTAAGCAAATTGGAAATGAAAACAACTGAATACAACAGTCACCAATATAAATAAACAAAGTTCACGTGTGGTTTAAGCTTTAAGCCAAGACGCCATGACACCCCCACAAAAATCAATATTCACCTGTCATTTACACTCCCACCACCTACCCCACCACCCGACTGCAGCGCCACGCGGACGTGGTTGATTGATCCCAGGCCTGCGCATACCAGTTTCCCACCCCTGAACCAAAGTCGTTGGCTTTTGTCACTTTTGTCGTGAGTTTTGTGACAGCCTGACAGCCATTTGAATGAAAATAAGAAGAATTTTTTAAAAAAGTTCCTGGCTGTTTGTTCAATGTTGTAAAAATTGGTAAAATTACTAAATAACTACGATGGCAAGGCCAAAATTACAATTGGATTTGGAAAAGAAGATTTTCCTGTCACTTGTATAAAATGATCATCTAGTAAATTACGTAAATATCTACAAATCTTAAAAAAACAGCATAAATTATTAAAATAAAGCCTATCTAACACTATCAAGGTACTAAAATTATAAAATAACTCAGTATTCTTTAACTTTGTAAATTAAAATATGTTAACCTATAAATAGACTTTCTCTATTTTCATATTTTTAGATGCTACGCAGTGCTTTAGTGCCGTGCAAGGAAGTTTTATCCACTTCAAATGTTCTTAGAAACTTATCGGCAGGAATTTTTGGCAATGTACAATTACAGGATACCCAGAAAAGAAAACAATCTACACAACCTGTACCTGCTCACAAGCCTTACTCACCCTTTCAAGTAAGCAGAACTAATATTGGTGAATATGCTATGGCAAGACTTGATGATCTCTTAAATTGGGGGCGAAAGGGATCTATGTGGCCTCTTACTTTTGGTTTAGCGTGTTGTGCTGTAGAAATGATGCACATTGCTGCTCCTAGATATGATATGGACAGGTAATTTATATTATTTAAAATACCTAATTTATTTTTATTTACATTTATATTTGACATTCTCTTAGTATTAACATAAGGAAAAGCTAAGCACCTAGGTGCCTGCACTTGTGTGAGCTATATTAACCCTTTCAAGACTATTCTAATAAAGAGTGACATAAGAACAGGTGTTTTAGTATTGACTGGAGTACTGGTGTCAGATATTTCCATAACAATAAAATATAGATTTTGCGATAACATAATCAAAAGAAAGGCATTTATAATAAAAATCATATTGCAAAGATGTTTTTTTTGCTGTTAATTTAATACAAAAAAAAGTAAACTAAGTCCATTTCTGAATGACTAAACATCTATCACTAAATTGTTTATTAAACAGAGAAAAGATGATAAAAATTGAAAACAGAAATAATACAAAAAATGCACTACAAAAATCAGAATTTTTTAATTATATGGTATCTCCCAAAACAAGGTACAATACATAAACCTACATTAGTCTTTGCACATGTATCGAGATTCTTTTCTTTTTTTGAGCCCAGTGTTAGTGTTGGCACAGACAATTTTTAAACACTACTCTGACATTCTTCTCTGAGCCAGGCAAAGTGTAATAGAGTAAACTGACGGCAGTTTCATGGCCACATTAATGTTTAAAACAGTCTAATATAACTCTCAACAACTTCAGAAGCAGTATAAAAGTATGTCGGATATATCTGACACCTATAAGTCAAATTAAGGAAAAAACGAATGTCTGATATCCCTCACAAAAGGGTTAAAAAAAAAATATTTATTTACATTGTGACATTATCTAATAGTGACAAATACAATTTCATTTTCAGTAGTTGGATGTATGTATTTTGTAAAATGATATACATCTAATTTACAATACCTCATTGATTAGCTCTGAATCTCAAAATCCAAATATGTGTAATTTGGTCATATTTTTTTTTTACATCCACATGGATATTAGCGAGGGGCAAACCACTCCAAAAATACTGGTATGTTTTCTCTCAAAATCCCTACACATTTTCTTGAAAATTTTGAGATCATCGAAAATCATGATTGAAATCAATTTGTCGCTCAAAAACGTAAATGCATCAGCTTTTGGATCAAAAGACAAGAAAATAGTCCAAAAAAGGCTGTCATATAAAATTAAGGTGGATTTTCAGCAAAATCACTGAAATCACATAACATTTTTTACGCGATTTCCAAAATATGGGTACATTTTGACCTTAGTGGTTTCTCACGCGGATATTAGCTAATAAAAGTATGCCATTGCGTTCAACTGATCTATTATATTTCATATTCATTCTACCTTGTTAGAACACTACAAAAAAATTAAATCCAATCAGTTTATATTTTGGTCACCCAGTTACAATTATTTTTTAAATTTAAAATAAGTGACAATTCTGTCAAACTAATTGTCAGTATATTTTTTAGTTATTTTTATTTTATCTATATTTACATTATATGAAACTAATTATGAGTATTAAAACTAAAATCATAGTGTGTCGATGGAGATGAGGCCTGGGTTCAAATCTGAGACTAATTAAATTAAATCTTTTTTTGTCATGTTTATTTAATTTTATAAATTAATTAAAGTCATAAATTATTTTAAAATTTGTTATTTTGTATTAATAACCTAAAATAATTTTTAAAATTTGTAAATTTTCGGTAGTGGGTCGTAGATAAAATATACTGTACATCTCGAGTGGATTGTCCATATCCATCTTGTTGCACAAACTGTTCATCAATAGCTTAATTGTAGTTTTGTCATTTCACTGTAATATTAATGTTTTCAGAATAGATTACAAAAGTTAAAAATATCTAATATGGTAGTGGATTCTATCACCACAGCCATTTAATAGGTTGCTTGTTTTTAATATTTAAGTCTTTATTAACCCTAGAACGGCACCGTTAAATTTCAACTACTTTTTGGCATCGGCACATAAAATTTACATGTACACCTTATAAATTATCTGTTTTATAGATTTTTTTTAATCAGAATATAAAGTAGTAATCATTGACGTCTTTTTAACATATTTTATGGACAAAAAATATAATATGACAAATATAACAGTAACTGATTTTAAAAATAAAGAGGACATATCATCCTCAATATCACGAAGTGATGTAACTCAATTTTCACAACTTTACAAGAGAACCTTTTAAAGTTTTTTTATAGAGGTTCATCTCTTCGTGCTATTTTAATAAATGTAATGAATTGAGATACGCAATTTCATGAAATTGTAGAGCATACTTTTTTTACATATTTTGTGACTTATCTCAATTTTCAATTTTTTCGAGTTACGTCACTTCGTGATATTGACGACGATATATACGGATATCTTCATTTGCCTATTTTTAAAGATTTACATATATACATTTTATATTTGACAGTTAGTCAATAATAAGCACCTCGTGTGTATCCACCTGTGTGTGCTTGCATACAAATAAACTAAACTAAAGAATACATTTACAAAACGTGTTGTGATGATAACAAAGAAAAACATCCGATTTTTCAAAGAATTTACTGTATGATAGATACTACACTATTTCAATTGAACAAGAAATTGTATAAAATCTTGTACAAGAAATTGTGTAGTCTAAAGCAGTCTTAACTGCTTATTGGTATCGATACATTTTTACGTGTAGACTTTTCTAAAACAAATGACATTTCCTTTTGGTAACTTGTTACAAAACTGATACAAATCTTCACATGTGGAAGTTGCCTGAGGCACTGCTGGAAGCTCAAGGGCATAGCTTAAAAGAATTAGTGGGGAGAGTTACTACAAATCACACATACATTTTATGCTCGGTATCGTTCTAGGGTTAATTTCAGAATGATTTTGTCATTGGCTCTCCATTCTTCCTTCTAGTTACACATGTTCACAACCACTTCACTCTTCGTTCTATTTTATGTTTATATTTTCTAATTTTTTACAATTTTAATTCCTCACTTTCTTTTTTGAAAAAATTTAAAAAATGATTACACATAAAAATCATCTATTTTTAATATTAATTCTCTTAAAAATGAAATAGTAACAATATGTGTCATATTTGAGTAACTAAAGTCTAAAGAAAAATATTTGTATACAGGTATGGTGTTGTATTCAGAGCCTCACCACGTCAAGCAGATGTGATTATTGTAGCTGGTACTTTAACTAATAAAATGGCTCCAGCATTAAGAAAGGTATATGATCAAATGCCTGAACCCAGATGGGTTATCTCTATGGGCAGCTGTGCCAATGGTGGTGGATATTACCATTATTCATACTCAGTTGTAAGGTAAAATATTTTGTGAAAATTAAAAAATAAAAATAAAAAAGATTAAATTAAAGATTGTCTAGCATAATATATTTTTTTAATTTCAGGGGTTGTGATAGAATTGTTCCTGTAGATATTTATGTACCAGGATGTCCACCTACAGCTGAAGCTTTATTATATGGAGTTTTGCAATTGCAAAAGAAAGTCAAACGAATGAACACGTTGCAAATGTGGTATAGAAAGTAATAGAATATGTTAATTAGAAAATCCCTTATATTAAGTTATAATTTGAAAAGCTTTGTAAATAATTGTTTTTATTCTATAATACTGTAATAAAACAACATGATTATTGTACCTTAAAACGTGTACTCAATAGAAACGAAATGATAAATAAATAATTAAGATTATAATTATTCTTTCTGTTCCTTTTTCATGCTTATTTTAATGGTGGATTTTATATCAGGACAATAGAAGCAAGATGGATGCAAAAAAGCGCGATAAATAAAGAGGCATTGCTTGTCTATGATATTTAAATTTTTAATATGGGGGCGTCCATTAATTACGTGAGGTATTTTTGAGGATTTTTTGACCCCCTCTTCACCCCTGGTGAGATTTTGTAAGATTTTCCTCAACTCCCTCCCTCCTCCCCTAATCTCTCGTGAGATTTTTCAAAATTTGTGTTTTGGGTATAAATGCGTTGGATTATTAAGAAAACAAACACAATATGTTTTATTACTTTTATTTAAGACTAAAAAATTTCTAGAAACATTCTTTACTTTAAATTAATTTTCACGCAATTTTACACCGTTTTCTACTAGAAAAAAAATACGTCAGATTTACAAAAACCCCCTCTCCCCCAAGTGAGATTTGGAAAGATTTAGCTTGATCCCCCCCCCTTGAACACCTCACGTAATTAATGGACGCCCCCTATGTAGAGCTGTAATGAGGCGTTCAGGAGTTCAAAAATAAGTTTATTTTGCGGTACCTTAAAGCATAAAGGACATTTGATTAAGGAAGTTAATTTTCCACCCAATTAAAATACCTCCTATACCTGCCTGTTTTTCTCTTATCCTAATATAAATATTTGAGCTCCATAATTTACAATTTTCGTGAATAAAATTTTGGGTTCCCTAATTAAGTTGCTGTATAATTTAGGTTAACGAAAAATTAGGTTCCCTAATCAAATATTCATTGTCATTCAGAGTAACGTAAAATCGACGTATTTTTAAATTTGAATATCTCCCAAATGGATTAATATTGAGACGAATGGCCTAGAGCACTCTAATCTATTTGTCCGTCTCTACGTTTGTGTGAATTTATACAATAATCCGATAATTAGTAACTTAAGAAAAATGAAAAAAGTCCACCCCTTAATTAACCTTGATGTCTTTTGTATGAACCCAATATGCATTTTTTGCTTATTTCTCATAAAGCCTCCAAGATAGAAGGAGACACGAGCCAAACATTTTAAATCGCTTACTGTAACGTTGTGCCAAAATTCATGAGCAGAAATGAAAATTTTCCATACCTCCTCGCTCGTCTGTTATACTGATACAAAATCCGCTACTTAAATTGACGTAAAATGCGACGATTTAATAATTTTCAAATGTTCCAATTAAGAGAATAACATTTTAGCATCAGGATGACATACAGGGTTTTTCATGATATTTTGACCACTAATTAATTTCATTATTATAGTGAACACAAAAAGTTTTAAGTAAAAGCTTTGTTGTTTTACCCGTACCGACGTAATAACTGGCAGAATTGTATATGTTATGGTCAAAGATGATATTTCGGTCTTTAACGATATTGTCCGGTCATTGTCGTAAATCTCCTATTTGATTGGGCATAATTGATAATAACCGGCCAATAACGTAAACATCCGCTTAAATTGGACAATGCTGATAAACTATAAATGACATAGCCTTTTTAAGACTCTGTCCGGGCGTTATCGTTAGCGCCCACTGATGTGTGAGCCGCAAACAGCAACGATTTGGATTTGAATAAAATACAGAAAAAATTTACAAGATCTGAATTCAATCCATGTTTGGAGAAGCTTATATTATTGGAAAACCTTAGCGACGCCGTTAAAGGAAAAGAACACAAAACACTGTTTTTGGAAAACAAGGATATAAGCGTTGTCACTGTAAGGGTGGGTGCAAAAACAATAAATGCGCTTGTCGCGCCAAGAAAAAAATTGAAATTCCAAATGTCATGGATCATTATCATGCTCCAATAAAACTGATTAATAATTATATAATTTTAATGTTTTCATGTTAATTTTACAGTAGCTTATGGTAAAGCCTTGAAAATAAAAAATTTAATTAATTAACTTAATTCTTTAAAATCAACTTCACCCACTTATTAATGGCCGCACAAAGATGTAAAAAATAACATATTTTCAAAATTGTCCATTCATTGATGGTCGATGTCGTTAAGGGCCGGACAATGATGCAAAAAAGTATCAACATTGTCCACGATTAATGGGTATTTTCGTTACTGTCCAGATAACGATATTGGCCAGCAAATATGACTGCTGACGTTAGTGTTCAGTCAATATATCGTCAATAGCCAATTTACAACAGTGCCCGTAACATATACAGGGTGGTCCATATTTGTGGAATATATTAATTATTGGCTTTATTACGGTTTGAAAAAAATCCTTGAACAGGTCGATTTTTATTTCTAAAATGACATTTTCTGAACAAAATTATTTATCTCCCCCTTCAACCCCTTCGGAGTTAAATATAAAGGAGTAGCGTGTGATACCTCATTTTAAAGAGTTTTTAATTCCCTATTCAGCAGTATAACATTTTTTGTTTTTTGTACATATATATATTCAAGAAACATCAATTTTTATTTTTTTTATTAATAATACTACAATTTTATGGTATTATATAAATGTTCAAAATGACTGCCGTTAACTTCTTGACAATAACCAATGCGGTTATTATTTATTCTATGACGTCCGGGCCAATTTTTTCAATTTCTTTCTTTTAATTCGTCAATAGTCTCCGGTCGATTTAAATACACTTGAGACTTTAAGTGGCCCTAGAGAAAATAATCAAGCGGCGTTAAATCGGGAGATTGAGGTGGCCATTCAATGGCTCCACGCCTGCCAATCCATCTGTTAGGAAATACTTCATCCAAGTAGTATCTCACTCCACGTGCAAAATGTGGTTGTGTTGGAACCAAACATTTCTATCTGTTTCATCTGGATTGTTAATATCAGGATACAGAACTTGTAATTGAGGTACCAAAAAATTTGTTAAAAAATATAAATATCCCTCACCTGTCAGGGAGTCATCAAAAAAGTAAGGCCCAATGATTTTATTTTCAATAATACCACACCACACATTCACTTTTTTAGGAAACTGAGTGCGAGTCTCCATTATCTAATGAGGATTTTCTCTGCTCCAATAACGAGAATTGTGTCGGTTGACAGTACCATTTAAGTAAAACGTTGCTTCTTCCAAAAAAAGTATTTTTTGTAAAAACTGCACATCTGTCTGACATCTGTTCATTATTTGTTCATAGAATTGTAGCCTTCGGTCTGGATCGTCCTCAGATATACTTTTACGCGGGTTTCGGATTAAACATTTTATGAGGATCCAAATTTAGTACCTACCCTAACGTTATTTTAATTTAAATCTGACCATTAGGGCAATTTTACCCAATTTCTTGGGAAGAGGAACTGGTTGTCAATGACTAATTTGCATAATTTTGTTAAACCGAAACCCGCGTAAGTATAGCGAACACTATAACTCCTGTAGCAACTGAATTTTATAGTATGTGTAAAAAATGCAAAATTGTTGTTTTACTGACGTTGTGTTCGGCAGCAAGTTGTCTAGTAGATTTATGCGGATTTTCTTCAAGGGCTATCATAACATCTAATCGTTTATCCTCTTCAACTTCAGGGGTTCTTTCTGCGTTACGAACTTGCTCTACATGCCCAGTACTACGAAATTTCCTTGCTACTTTGCTAACTGTAGACTGTGAAATATTATGTCCTTGATATTTATTATTAAATAATTTAGATACCTTCCTATGCGTTCGTTTTCTATTGTCACAACCAAGCATTATTAAAATATCTATTCTCTGAGTTTCAGATAAATAAGCCATAACGACTATTCATAAAATTGAACTATAATTAAATAGTATAAATTATAATCGTCAATTGTAAATAAATGTTCCTTGCTTATTCTCTTGTAGCAGATTAGCAAAAGTTTTTCATAAAAAGCTCGGTTTAACTTTTTATTGTCATTTTTTTACATGGTCTAAGATAAGATAGAAATATTATTAATAGAATAGTTCGGGAGCTGCTTAAAAGCTTTAAAAATAAAAATTGATGTTTCTTGAATAATTAATTACATTTACAAAAAACAAAAATCTTATACTGCTGAATAAAGAATTAAAAACCCTTTAAAATGAGGTATCACAAGCTACCCCTTTCTATTTAAAAAAATTAAAGGGGTGACTTTTACTCCGAAGGGGTTAAAGGGGTGACTTTTACTCCGAAGGGGTTAAAGGAGGAGATAAATAGTTTTGTTTAGAAAATGTCATTTTAGAAATAAAAATCGACCTGTTCAAGGATTTTCCTTAAAACGTAATAAAGCCAATAATTAATATATTCCACAAATATGGACCACCCTGTATATGCCTCCAACAAAATATAATTTCATTTTTTTAGTGTCATTTAAGTAGACTTACATTTCCTGATTACAAATATATAATATTTTAATTATTTAGTGACTTATTTCACTATGAAAGCGTAACACATAGATGGCTATGCAAATGATGTTTACAAGTGAAACAGTTGTTTGTTTATTAAAAGTTGTCAATTGATTGCTTGTAATGGGTTATACTGTGGCCGAAAAAGTTGAGTTAAAACAACAAAGCTTTTACTTGAAACTTACTTTTTTTTTGGGGATGGTACCATCCCTAAAATCTTAAATGGAAAGGGGGTCGAATGATTCATCATTTGAAAGGACTTAAAGGGGGTCGAATGATTCATCATTTGAAAGGACTTTTAAATCCCTTTATAATGATGTAAAATTCATGTAATGCTCAGTAGTTTTGGAGATTTATTGATTTAAAGCTTAAAGTAGACTTCATTAGTGGAGATCAATACATTTAGCAGCAAAGTAGTTTAAAATTGAAGAATGAACTGACCCGTCAGCCAAGTCAATGTTTTAATAAAACACTGTTAATGTTAATTAATGATGAAGCGATCATCCGTTACAACCGTTACGGTGGTCAATCTCCTTCTGCCAGAGCCTTGCTGCCTAGTAAAGTTTCCCATATTTAAATGCCTGTTAAAGCGTCTCCAACTTTTCAAAACGCATTATGTTCATAATTTTTTTTTTTTTAGGAACAACAAATATTTTATGTAATGCGTGTTTCGATGTGAAAATCATATTTTGCACTTAGATTACATAGGGATATTAAGCTATTTGATTTATTCTGACTTTACAGAAGTATAATGTAAGTGAAAATAAATCCAAAACTGCAAATAAGAGAATTTTGACCTCGAGTGGACATAATGCGTGTTGAAAAGTTACTCCTCAACTGTAGACCGCCGAATTCCCAGAGTACGGGTGACATAACTTTAGTACAGCCATCCTTTATTAGAGCAACAATTCGACCCAAGACTGCTGTAGTTAATACCAGTTAGATTTTATTAATTATCAAGTCAAAAAATTATTTAGTTACCAAGTGATTACCGATAGAACAATGCATGAGAATCAGCAAACAACTACAGCTGATCACATTAGACACTCAAAGCGATTCAAATCGTTCTGCCTGTCGATGTGCTTTACCGTACTACAATTAAGAAAAATTTGTTTACTTGGTAGAGATGGTCGATACCTTATTTTTAGATTCACCGGGATACCGGTGCCGGTGATTTAAAAATCACGGTGATTCTTAGCAGTGATCGGTGATTTTACGATATATGTATAATTTCATGAAACTGTAATATCCATACATCCCTATCGACTGTGAATGCGGTACAGAAATCGAAAGTGTGCATATTGATGAAAAATATTACAGATATAATATAAAATATTTATTTTTAAATCAATTATTGTTTCCATAAAAAAAACAATATAAATAAAAGCACATTTTTTTAATATTTTAATGTTTGTTTTCATGTTTTCCTTATAGTAACGTTCCAAAATATTAAAAAAAAATTGGAATTTATTTATTGTAGATATTTTGTAATTTGAAAGAATATTTTTAATATATTATACCTATCTTCTTTTCCTAAAAGTAAAAAAGTTTTAGTTGCCTCAAATTTTTTGTGACTTATTACTGATGTTTTCTTCCAAGGACACAGAGTAGGATTTTGATTTCATGTTTCTTTAAATTTGAATTTGTAGTTTTAAAAGAAAACTTTTTTGATAAATGTCACGTTAAAAATAGGGATAAAAAGTTCAAAATTTCACTAAACTTTATCATCTTTGATTTTAATTGTTGAGACATTCTCAAAACTGTATTTACTTATTAATATCTAGGTAAATGAATATGATATTTAACACTTCGTCGCTGGTCGCTAATTACGGTGGTGACATCAATAGATCACGATCCAGGCCAATTTTGTTTAACCACAGATTCACCCTTTCAACGGATAAAAGTTATCGTTAAACGCGTTTCACCGACCGAGTTAAAATCACTGGTAAGTACCTGTCAACAATAAAACTCAGTCACCGGTAGCGCCAGTGATTTTCAAATCACCGGTGAAAAGTAACCGGTAATGATATATCGACCACCTCTATTACTTGGTAACATACCATTATAACAACAACAAATTTTAATACGGATCCTGTAAAACAATAGCTGCCAGTGGAAAGGGCTGGTAAATCTAATGGGGTTGCGACATAGCCTTTCATCTTGGACGAATTTTTATTTGAAATAATACTTTCCAACCCTGCCAGTATATAGAAAATGTACAAGCGCTTTTTTTTATATTTTCATTGGGTTCGATATAAAATATTTAAATATAATCTATTATGATTTCACGTATTATAGGTAGAGTACATCGTATGTCGCAACCCTTTAGGGTTACCAAACCTTAGCACAGCGTTTCATTTGTTTGAAATGCCTAATAATCGCGTACTTAGCCAACTTCGATAATAGCGGAATTTAGTGTTTTCTCTACATTTTGTCAGCCATTTCTTGCTTTTATAAATTTCTATATGCCAAATGTTTTGAAATTATGATAATTTTTAATAAAGCTATTTCTATAGTCATAGTGGTAATAGATGCAGTTATTTTAAATAATTTCGCATCTGGAACTGAATTTTTTTCTACCAAACCCAGAAAATGAGTAATTATTAAAGTAACGTTTATTTGTTTAATTTATTTACACAAAGACAATTTATTTTATAAACTAATTTATTTATGCTCAATACTACACTATATATCAAATATTTATATACCATATTAATCTGTTCATAGCGATATCCGAACTTAAATTAAGTTTCCAAGGGCAAAACAGTTTATTTATCCCAAATGTTACGCTCCAGACGTGACTGAAAATTTCTAGACCCCCTTCCTCCAAGATTCGACATATAGACCAAGCCTATCTTGTAATTTCTTGAATTCATGTAGTAGACTGAACGACTCCTCGATTGACGACTACGAAACACAGGCGTACCAAGGGAGGGATTCGAAGATGAATTGTTTAATCGAAAATGTTTGTTAATCGAGGCCACAAAAGGTCCAAATAAGACAGAGAGGGACTTAATGTATTATAACATGACGGGACTGGTTGAAAATAGCTCACGTGACATTAATAATACGAGTTGATAAAATATAGGAATATATTGTTTTTAAACAATATTAAATAGGTAAGTAAATAAAAACACTAACAGTAAAATAACATTTTAATACAAATCCATATCATATTTCATATTATTGTCCTAAATTATATATTGCAATTAATTACATAATGTATTCATAATTTATTGCTGAATTTACACATTGCGGGAGACATGGGGTAACTTTAATAAAACAGTTATTTACATTGACAATAAAAATATTTTTATGCTAATATATAAAAAGAAGTTAAAATTTTTCAAAATAAAAATATTCTGATGGCACAATATACCATTTTTGCGTTATGTCCCTTACTTTTTATTAAAAAAACATCCCTTACACTAAAGTTATTTAAAATATTGGCACTTTATTGCAAAATAATTTACAATATAAAAATATATGTATTTTTAGACTCTTATAATAGAAATAGAACTTTGAAATCAGAACAACGAAACAGTTAAAATTTTAAAAAATAACTTGTAACTATGATCTTTCTAAGGCACATGTAGGTTTTGAACCACAAATTTAATTATCATTCGTAACCAGTTTTTAAAATTTAAAATATCAAAGTGGGGATTTACATAGTAAATAATTTAATGAAAGTTGATCTGGATAAATCTAGAGCAGAAAAAACGTGTGGAATGAGAAGATGAATAATATTAAAACAGGAAAAAAATGAATAAAAAAGAAAGGAATATGTACAGAGAAGAATGTTAAACTTTTGGAAAGTTGCACATTGATGTAATATTTAAAAAAATGACATTGTGAAATGCCATTAATGATTTTTATTTAATTTAATTATTATATGAAGGAAAATATGATAGTGATAGTAAACAGAAACTGAAAATGAGGGTTATTTGACATCAAATATCAGCTGATGTCAATTACTCTCCACGAAATTTATTTTTAAGTAAAAAATATTTAAACTTAAAACAAAAATATCAGTTTTAAAAACTGGTTCGTTTATGTAGAAGAAATTAAAAAAAGCCTAAAATAATTGGATAATAAGAATAATCTAAAAGTTGGAATCCCAACCGGATATGTCATCTGGTGGCTGTTCATCAGTATCACGTGGGTAATTATCAAAGTTTGAAGAGTCTGTCACGTTTTGCACCCTCGGAATAATTGGAGGCGTCAAAGTTCGATTAATTAGACCCTCCCAGTTGAAACCGTCGAACCACCTAGAACAAAAAAAAAAAACAAGTTATAAATCCAAATCAAAATCTTAATTTTTCATATAGATAATAATTTTAGATATTTTATATTATTTTTCACAAACATATCGCTCATTTGTAACAAGAATATTATTAAAAAAGTTTTGAGAAATGGCAATTAAAGATTTTATCAGGTTATTAATATGTTTTAAGTACTAATATATGGTGTTCCTTATAGCAGATTGATGATGATGGAGATACATCTAATACAATTTTTTTGCATAGCCAATTTTACCTTAGAGAAACTAATTTTTGTCGTTCTTTATGAAAAATGTAAAATCAATATGGTATTAGTAAATTTATCGATATTACAGATAAAATATTCCAATTATGCAAGTCAGTATTTCGTATTGTAGTGTAAAAAATAAAATGCGACTGCTTCCAGCGTATTATATGAGCAGTGGTGTTGACAGTACTCATTCTAAATCGTATGTGACATATACCGGGTCATTCTATATGGGCGGAACACTTGATTTATGGCTTAACTATGACTTGTACGATAATTTGACTTTAATAAAAGTTATTGTACTTTTTATTGACGTTTACATACGTAATGATTTTCAAGATATGACGTCATCGGGCAATATTTTAAATGGATCACCCTGTATTTATATTTTTTTTCGAGTTCGTATAATCTGTCTGATTTCATCAATGGTACATTAAGTGGGTCCCAGACTTATTTAAAATATTGCCCGATGACGTCATATCTTGAAAATCATTACGTATGCGGGAAATCTGTAAACGTCAATAAATAGTACATAAAATGTACAAAAACTTTTATCTAAGTCAAATTATCGTACAAGTCATAGTTAAGCCATAAATCAAGTGTTCCGCCCATATAGAAAGACCAGTTCCGCCCCTATAGAATAACCCTGTATGGGTTGCCTAGAAAGGCAGGAAGAATTATTCTATCGCAGTTCTTAAGCCTGAACGTGATATTTAAACTTAAATTTTTTCTTTATGCTAATGCATTAGAAAAAGGACGATTGAGAAATGTAACTTCCACTTAATGTAGTACTCTAAAAAGTATCTTTAAGTGCAACATATTATGTTCTGCAGAACGTACCCAAAGTCCGAGCTCGTCCCGAAATTACTTAAACCAGACAAACAAAAGACGAGAATAAAAAAAAGATTAATATTTTCCTCGAAAAAGCATCAATCATATTCATACGTATGGCAATAGCTAAAAAATACGTAATTTATACCAAAGTGTGTTGACTGGGTAATTTAAAAAAAAATCAAAAATAAAGATAGATAGAAAATGAAAAAATCTAAATCAGGGCTTGGATTTGTATCTCAAAAATTAAGCTAAATGTTTATGTTTTGTAATTTACTCAGGTGTTCTCTGTTCAATATAATTTTTATATGAAAACAATGAACTTGAGATTAATATGTTATTTATAGCGAGTGTCTTCAAAATGCATATTATGCATCAAAGTGCTAAATCGGTGTTGTACAGAATAAACAGTAAACGGTTTACTTTGTGTTTTAACACTTCAGTGAATGGTGAAAACTTTGAACACATTGCTTACAGGAGCATACTGGATACATTTTAATGTGTTTTTATTTTTGAAAAAGTTTTTATTTTAATGTTTTCTATACTCTTTAAAAAAATATCAACTTAGTATTCACGCTGTATATACTTATTTGTATCTTCTGTAATATACGCTAATAATTCTGTGAGGTTAATGCGGTTTTGTTAAAAAAAAAATACAATAATGAAATTATAAAATAAACGCAATACAGACAAATTATGTGGTTAAATACAGAGAAAGACTGACGTCCCATTTAGCAGCGCGGACAAATAAGAAAGAACTATTAGAAAATTATCTTTAGAGAAATAAAACAAGGATTACGGACAGAATTATTTTATGAAATGGTTGAGGTACTTCTCAACTTTGGTAATACGAAAGTGATAAAAGAGCCTTAAGGTTTTTTCTCGATCTAGTCGATCGCTTTAAATCAACGTTTTTCAAGGAAAAGCATTAGACCAATTTTATCCTAGTTTTCCTAGCAAATTTCGATGCCAAATTGTCATGAATTTCGAGTAGTTTTCGAGGATTTTTTAGTTCATCCGGTAAATTCGTCGGAATAAGAAAATATTCAGGAAACAAAAATAGTTTTTCGATTTTCTCCATACAATAGAGACAGATTCCCGAAACAGACAAATCTAAAATATCCTCTAATTTTCCTGGGAAATATGTAAGAGGTATAAAGAAAATTTCGATGCTAGTATGAGGAACATCAAATAGTAAATGCATTTTTTTTACAAAACGTTTCGGAAAATTCGGTAAATTCGGTAAACAAAATATATATATTTTTAAATTTTCGGCAAACGAAAGGAAATTTTCAAAAACGAATAAATTCCCTGTCGAAAAGAAAGTTGGTTTAGCGTAGTTAAATTTCAAATTTTCCTACACTATTTGTTAGGGAGATTTTAAAAAGGCATTTAAACTTTTTTTATAAATTTCCGAAAAAGATTTTCGCCTTTTTTGTTTTTAAAACAATAATTTTTTTTAAATTTTTTTCCAAACGAAAGGAAATTTCCCGAAACAGATAAATCCACTGTCGAAAAAAAAGTTCGTCTAGCCGTAAAACCACTTTCACGAAAAAAAATTTAAAATTTTCCGACAAACTCGACAGAGAAAAGTTCAATGTTTCCATAGTAGAGAAATTCGATGGGTTAGTTCGAACGGGCAGACGCAGGGACAACACGTACTTAGTTTTTTTTATTAATAGAGAAAACTTACTTGTGTTTTTGAATATCACTAATTCCACCTTTCTGGTAGCCAAGACGTTCAGCAGGATTATCTCTACATAACCTCTTGATAAGAGCCTGTGCATTTCTAGTGATAGATCTTGGAAAGTCAATCTGATCTATTCCTTTTAAGATTATATTGTATGTCCTCATCGGGTCTGAACCTACAAAATAAAAAGGATATCAATATAGGTTGAAATATTATTACAAATTAATCTACTGTCACTAGTTTTCAATGAGATCGCGATTAAACGATAATATTTGAACTTACCAGTAAACGGTGGTGTTCCTGTCAACAATTCAAACATCAACACTCCTAGAGACCAATAATCGGCGCTGATATCGTGTCCTTTGTTCAAAATTACTTCGGGTGCGACATACTCTGGTGTTCCACAGAAAGTCCACGTCTTCCTTCCAGTTTGTAATTTCTTGGCGAAACCAAAATCGACTAGTTTTACATAGCCTGAGTTATCGAGAAGAAGATTTTCTGGTTTTAAGTCTCTGTAGATTATATTTCTAGAGTGTAAGTAGTCGAAGGCTTCTACGACGCAAGCAGTACAGAATTTGGTGGTTGCTATAAATTAAAAAACGATTATCTATATATTTATTTGTATAGAATGCAATGATAAACAATTTCTAAATGGAATATATTTTATATATATATAGTGGAAATCACTTGTTGGCTTGTTTTTAGTGAATACATTTCTGATGTGTCTAGCACATGACTTTCCAATAAAGTTATCAAACATATTGAGTATGGTCCATCTAATCAAAAAGTTATAAAAGTAATTTTAAAAAACCGACTTCAAAATTGTGCAGATATGCCATAACAAATTGTGTTGTGCTGATTTTACCATAGATACCATCACCAGATGTTGACCTAATTTATACGGGACAATCCCTGAGGTAACTCCTTTCTAACAAAAAAAGAATCATTGAAATCGAACAATGTGGTAAATAATTATCGCAGAATATTGCAGTGTTTGTTTATTTTAAACAACAGTTTATTTGTTAATAATTTATTTGAAAATTCTGGTGGATTCCAGAATGCTCCCCGCCAAAACTAGAAACATTATCACGTTATATCTGGAATGTACTCGAAAGCGCCTTCGCCATAGTCGCCACATATGTTTGGTCTTTTAAACCCCTTGTTTAATTATGTATGATAATCGGACAAGTTGAGCCTTAAAGGCCAAATAAGACAGAGAGGGACTTGGAAGATTAGAGCATGACTGAATTCATGTTCGCATTACAGTTTGATGATTTTCTCATGGACCCAATAATTAGATCTTGACTAAATTTATATAAGACGACCGCTGGAGTACCTCTTTTGTAATAAATATGATAATCATTGAAATCGGACAACGTGGTAGAGAATAATCGGTGAACATACATAAAAAATATATATTCTGACGAATTGAGAACCTCCTCCTTTTATAGAAGTCGGTTAAAAAGTGTTTAGAAAATGAATTAAAGATAAAAATTTTCCATTTAATTAGAAACATTTTTTCATAATTTTATTACTAGCAAAAAAGAGAAAAGTCGAATTTCCCACTTTTTCCCAAATATCTCTAATACGGTCAATTTTAGGGAAATGATGTGCGTCCTCATTTTTTCTTCCACATTTTAACATGGTAATGTAATCAGTTTGTAATTTTGAGGATGGGAAAGTGAATTTTTATTATTATGTAATGCGTGCCATTTCCGACCATTCGGATCATGTTCTAATCCTTCAAATTGCTCCGAATTCGTACCGGAATAAAAAGATCTTTTAAAATCTGCAATAATACAGACATATGACAGATTGACATATTGGCAGTTGGCAACACTGGATTGACAAATGACAGTTGGCAACACTGGATTGACAGGTTGACAGTTAGCAACACTAGATTGACAGATGACATCTGTCATCGCATGCGCAGTTTGAAAAAGTGCGTGGTTTAAAAAAGTAGAGGGGGTCCTCCAAAGTAAGGGTATGCCTGCTAGGAAGTCTCCTTTAAATTAAAAAAGTTGAGGGTATTTCCGATGAAACCGGGAGTACAGTAGTAACAAAAAATATGGCATAAGATGCGTTATGCGTCATTGTACTTGCCTGTAAAGTTTCATAAATATTTTTACTTGGTTCCATACTTTATTCCAACCCTGTATTTGATGAAAATTTTTGATATTTTTTATTTTTTGTAGCTCTTAACAAGTTGGATCCTAATGTTAAAGCTCCAAAAACATCTGAACTGCGAGACTTATTATATCATAACTAACACTTAATCTCAAATTTTGATTATTACACTTACAGCAAGTTGACTTTAGTACACTATGGGATCTATTCGGTAACGTTTTAGTTAATTTTAACCGCCAGATTAAAAGGTTATTTATAACTATGAGATTTAAATTGTAACCTAAATTTCTATTCAATAATCCATTAATTCTTTTTTGTGCTATAACCAATCCTAGTTAAAATAGACATGATAACGATGCAAAGACATTACAACTAAGAGACCAAATTATTTACATTTTTATGTGGCAAATCATTATTCCCACCAGATTCTCGTTTATTGCGTCTTTGCCGATTTTATCAGCCTGTAAAAATGATTTGGAGAAATTACTTTCGAAAAATAAAATTTGATGTATCCTATAACTATAATTTTATATTATATAAATAAAAATATGTATTTAATCAAATTATTCTTTAAAGTTTTAATATAAGCTAAATTTTTTATTAAAAATCAATATTAATCTAAACAAAGTATTAGGGTTGCAAAGAACTCCGTAAATACGGCAACGCTGAATATCTTATTTTATGAATTTTCAACTTTTATGAATGAAATGTAGTTACCGTAACCAGCCGCAACGTTGCCAATCGGGTCTAACAGCTATTTTGTATTTCTGACAGTTTCTGTGTGACTTATTGATTTATTAATTTATAAAGTACTATTTTTGTGAATTTTGTGAGGAATATAAAGAATTATGGTACATGCATTTATCCTTTCATCGGTAAGTATTTTTAGGTTAAGATATGTTGTTTTCTTTTGAACCAGTGGAGTAGGGCACCCGTCTTAAGACTGTTTTGACTATACAATTTCTTGTACAAGATTTGATACAATTTCTTATAGAATTTAAATTGTATATGATCACATAGTAAATTGTTTGAAAATATACAATTTAAATTGTACAAGAAATTGTATCAAAAACTTATGTAGTCTAAAACAGTCTTAAAACAGTTTTTAAAGTGATATTCCTTTTATAAATTAGTAAATTATTCTTATACCAATAAATAATTATTGAATAGTGGCAAAGAAAATTTAACGTAAAATGTAGAATACCTTAAAAATGATTTACCTATTAGGCACCTATACATATTCTATTTAGGTTTCCGCAAGATCCTGAGAAAAGAAAACTTTGGCTTTCTCTAGTAGGGATCCTTGAAAATCAGCCCCTTCGTAAAAACCCAGAGTTGTGTTCAGAACACTTTTTTTCTGAAGATGTTTTGGTACGTGCAAATGGTGCTAAATATATCAGAAAAGATGCAAACCCCGGACGGTGTGAGGGCTTTCTATTTTTGGATGACTTATCCAACAGGTAAAAATACAAAATATAAATTTTTTGTTTACCTCTAAACATTATTTATTACCTATATGTATGTATATCTAATATGGGTTTTTAGTTCTGATTCAACTGTTTTTGGAACACCACCTGCTGCAAAAAAAAACATTGCATGAAGTAATAACACTATTAACTAAGCATAAAATAAATGAAATTTTAGTTAATAAAATTAAGGTATTTAATAGGGAGTTTTAGCAAACAGCCGCTAACCATCCGCTAACGTTACCTTAGGGATAGACTGTAATCTACTCTGTTCAATGTTTATGAAAAAGGTCACAATCTAAGTTTAACGTAACGTTAGCGGAAATCTTACGTACATTTGCTAAAACTCTCTAATATATTTAAAACGTTATTTTAAAAATTTTTACAGTTTTTTTACGATATTTTTTGCCATACCATGTTTTTTTTGTAATTATTAATTAAAAAATTATATATTTTTAGGACAGTGTTTTATTTAGATACCCCTACCTACTTAATGTTAATTTAAAATTTTAAATAATTTTGGTTAACATCATACGAGGCAAATAGTAGAATAACCGATAATTGGAACAATCTCTTGGGGCTGACACGGGCCAAAATAATTCTGTGTGAATATAACCAGAAAAGATCGGAAGCCTTCATCGGCCTGAGCAAAAACAGGCTACGTATTGTAACAGGGATCCTTACCGGGCATTGCCGACTAAAAGGACACCTAAGTAAACTGAAAGTAGTAGTAGATTCTGTGTGGAGAAGGATGACGAAACCTGCATTCACATCCTAACTGTAGCACTACAAAATCTAAGGGCACTATATCTAGGAGGATATCAAATAGAAGAGGGAGATTTACCTAACTTGAAGCCACTTCAAATCCTACACTTCCTTAAGAAAATAGGATTGGAAGGGTCGTTATTCGCGATTCAAATTAATTTTCGCGCGCCTGTCATTTGTCACGTATAAGTAGGATGTTTGTTTATTTACGTGTTGTGGGATTTTGTATTTGTGATTTTTTAACTGTTTTTAGATAATATTCTTATTATAATAGTGTTTTTGAGTTTCATTTAGTGTTAATTTAAGTTTAGGTTTCGTGCTTTCGTTATAAATGTAATTTTTCATGTGTAGTACGAACTAATTTGTTGGAAATATTGACCTATTGGTTGCTACAAGAACATCTAGAAATATGTATTTACTAAACCCAGGACATGTTTTATTATGTGGTTTAAAGGACATATCAGGTACCAAACGTTTATTATGGATGAACTTCTTTAAAAATCTTACTATCCTTATTCTTATATCATGAAGTGAATTGTGTAGTACTTTGTATACATGTAAATGGTAATAAAACCGTCACAACTCATATTGGAGTTTGATTCTAAACAACGTATTGCAAAATTTCAATATTGTTAATTTGTAGATACCCATTTATCGTAAGAAACAGAATCTTATGACTTGCACTTGAAAAATAATGAATACTCCAGTTTTGATTTTGACAATAACACCATACAGATTGCAATTTGCTGGAGGCTTTTTCGCAGATTTCATTTTTAATTTAAATACTATCACATACTATAAGAAATAAACAAATTTAAAGGTAAAAAGTAACAAAAAACTCTAATTGTATGCCGCGTTTGAGAATCCACATCGGATGCATCTGAGATGTAAAAAATCTTTGGTCACGTGATTCAGTATACGTAAATGTAATGGGACAGATGTGTCCGATGTGAATAAAAAAACGCTCGAGATGTAAAAAATGCATCCGATGTGGATTCTCAAACGCAGCAATAATTGATACAAATTAAAATGTAAACAATGAACACGAACGCCAATGTTGCCAAATGATGAACTGATTTTGTCTCTGACTGATTTTAAAACTAAAATTAATAAATGAACTGATATTTAAAAAAACAATCAATATAATAAATCGATTTTATAAAAAAATCCTTAAATAAATAGTATGATTACATATTACTAGACACAAATTTTGATTCTTAAATAAAA